ACGGACATCTTTGTCTTCAACCACCACTAGTGTCATGACAAGTTTCTTGGTGTCTTCAGAAACGGCTGGCCACTCCTCCCCTGCCATGGCTGGCGGGAAACCTCCGCGCACCCCGGGCAGCCTCCACCCAAGGAATGCGGAAACACCTGCCACCGCCGGAGACCCGCGCCCACCGTCCGCTATGTCTCGGTAGGTGACTGGGTGTCCGTACCTGGTACGCCCTCTCCCCCCGTGTGAGCCACCTTGTCGCGTTATCGTTCCCCAGCTCCCCACTACCCGATTCCTGTTCCACGATTCTGAGGCTGTTGAGATGAGCCACCAAAAGTTTGACCACGTCTTCAGGCGCCCCGATGGACGGAGCAGCACACACCGCTGTGATCGACGTGATCTTCAAGGGGGTCGGGCGCGCAACAGACATCATCTGGGCAGCTTTGCACAACAGTCATGACATAGTGGTGTCTCGAACAACGTGTTCACATCTCCGGGGTTCTGCAAAGGGCCCGAATCGACAAGCTTTGGGAAGAGGGTGGGATCAATTTGCGAAGCGACCAGAGGCAAAGCCCGTAAGACATGATACTGTTGGTTGGGCTTGGCAATGACAGATCCCAATGACAGTTGGCTCTGCCGGCGGCGGCGACCAGCCTCACCCACCGCACAAACTGCAACGCGACATGACTGGGCTCACCACCAAGCCGAAAGCAGTGAGGCCTTTCCAGCAGGCACCTCAACACCCCCACACATCTCCCAAGCTCTCCAGCGTGGTCGCATTACAGTCTGGTACGCCCTGTTGCCCCCTCTCTCCTCTGTCCCTCACTTTACAGTGTGTTCCCAACCCCTTGCTCCCTTGTCTGCCTGCATGTTGCGCCGCCGGGCCGTGGAGACAGCCTCGATGGATTCGAGCTAAAGCCCTCGGTCGCCGGCGCCATTTTGTGCCCTGCATCTCTCACTTAGCGCATGCTAAAGCACGGTCGCCTTCTGTATTTCACGGCGCCTGGCGCGAAACGAGACCCTCTCCCCACCCCCCGGAAAGGGCACTCTCCAGTAAGAGATCCACCAGCTCGGTATGAAGGTCTCGAGCTGCAGAAGAGGGACTGCGGCATGCCCCCCTTTCAGGGCACAAGGAGGGGTCTAGAGAGGCATTTTAGCATTGACGCACGACACGATGCGCGCTGGCCGTCATCGGAGATGAGACGAGACGGGGCGGGCAGCGGTGCAGCGGTGCAGTCTGCAGTGGTGCAGTCTGCAGCCTGCAGCCTGCAGCCTACGGCCTACAGTGCTGGGAGAAGCGAGCGAGAGCGCCGCGGCGGAAAATAGATGCCGTATCCGCACAATCCGCTCGTTGGTTCCAAGGGTTGCCATGCTATAGCCTTTATCCCACGCACGGCGGCATGGACAACCCGGCCGGCGAACGAGGATTTCTGTTCTTTGTGGTCTCAAGAAAGAAGGTTGGTTTGAGCTTTCAACCGCCATGTCAAACCGCTTGGTCCTCACCTTTTTGTGGGCGTGGGGCACGAAAGCCGCAGGTAAGAACAGGCAGGTAAGAATAGGCAAGGTGGTCAGTGGGCACGACCTGTCTGATGCTAAGAAAAGACAAAACCAAACAAGCTTCTTCTGCTTCTTCTTCCTCTTCTGCACCTCCTCTTTCAGTCTCTGCCTTCCATGTCCCTTTCGTGACAGGGCCTCGAGGAAGAAACACGAAGCGAGCCAAGGGAAACAAGCGGACTTGGGACGATGGAGCCCTCTTCGGGGTCCCTGCAACTCGCAGGGTCTTGTCTTGCTGGGTCCGTTTGATCGTGCAAGTTCGGACAACAGCCGGGCTGTCCCCTCGAGCGGTGGCCGTCTGTCAGCAAAGAGTCTGTTTCGTCCCGCGGGAGGCTCTCCGCGGAAGAGGATCCCCAATAAGCTAGGCTGGTGAGGTGTCGCGGACGCTAGGTGCCAAAACTAGAATGGAACGCAGCATCTCGGCGAGATCTCGCTTTTCACGTGTTTTGCTGCGTCAGTGCGATCGATGGGCGAAGAAAGTCCCGCTGGTGGAGCCTGCCCGGCACGTTCCATCGGCCACTGCCTGCTCCACACCCAGTGGTTGACCGCCGGCCCAAGAGCGTACTGGACAGGTACCTACGGTACCCACCTAACGTAAGCAGCAGCAGCAGCAGCGGCGGTGGCGGTGGCGGCAGGAGCAGCTGAGGCGGTGGCAGGCTCATGCAGGAACGACAGGCGGCAGAATGGAAATGTTTGACTCCAGCCAAATCAGATGACTGTTGCAGCACAAAAGTGACAAGTCCGCTTTCATGTCACCGCAAAAGTAGGAGCCTGGTGATTTTCCCTCTAGACGATGCTTTTGAGCATGAGTAAACTGGGCTAATAGTCCTCGATGCGTAGATCTGCGTGACGCTGCTCGATTGTAAATTCACCCGCCACGATTCTGGTATCAAAAATCTTCATCAACGGCTAGTAAGATTTGGATGGTTCGCATCTCCTTCATCGCCACACAGCACTTTCCCAGCCGAAGCCGTTGACCTGAGCGCTCTCCTCCTACCCACGCTGCCGTCCGTTTGGTGGAACTGCCTCCTGGTCAAAGCTACCACCACTGTCGCTTCCAACGTAGCTCGCAGCTTATATCAGTGTCCATATGGTGTTCGCCTGCTGCATAAGGCTCTGAACCACATCACCTTGGTCTCTCTTCGCCGTCCACATCTTCACGAAGAAAGGCACTTCGGGAGGCATCAGTTCGGAGGCACGAGTTCTGGTTTTCAGTTGTTAATATCACTTCCTACAACTCTGGCAGGCGCCACTCGTGTTCCTGCCCTTGACCAGGCAACGCCTACTCACTGCTAAGGGCACCACCAGTCGACCCGCGCCAAATCCACGTATTTCAACTTGCGTTGTCCTACCTGTCTGCCTCTTCACTCTGGCAGCACCGGCATCATCTCCTCTGTCAATTCGGCTTCTTGCTTGCTGCCATCCTCGACCAGTTGCGTCCTTAAGCAACCTTTGTCTCTTTGCCTAGCCTGGCCGGGCCAACGTTGAGGCCAAGCCGTCAACAGTATGAACGGCAGCAACTTCCCCGCTGCCTCAGAGGCATCCTCTGACCGAATTCCCGACTTCACGGGACCCGATGCCGTCCAGCCTCACCCCCTCATCAACGATCTCATACCGGATCATCTTGGAGGTGGTGTGCTCATCCCGCTGAAGACCACCCTTGAGGTCCGGCAAGACCATACTATCGTCCATGGTCTCATCACAAGAGCACCGACAAAGTCTGCCAACGAGGTCATCACGTAAGCTGCCATCGCTACAACCGCCGTGACCATGTCACTGACGCTATCTAGATTGCTCCGTACTCTGCTGCCGGAAGGCGTGGCTAAGGGCCTCTTCCACCTGCGGCGATGCGCAAAACCTTCGGACCTCCCCACCCATCTCAAGACGCAATTCATGAACGCCACGCCCGAGGGCCGACAGATCCATACGGGCAAGTCCAGCTGGATCTACATCATGCTCTGCGAGGACTCTGAATTTAGCCGAGACGCTCTCACCGAGGAACTGGCCAAAGTCGAGGGCATGGGCCAAGAGCCTTTCCTCGAGTCGGTGCCTATTCCGTTGGTCGCCCCCACCTCACAGGTTCAAGCTGCCATGTGGTCGTCGCAATTCTGGCCCTGCGTCTACCGCAAAAACAACCCTCTCGGGCCTCATCCCGCCTTGGTAGCCCGTGCCTCCGATGTTGTCAAGGACGAAACGTCACTTTGGATGGCCCTCGCCCACCGCGTCGCGCGCTCTGCGTACGACGCCGGCATCGGCGAGCCCATGGGCGCTGTCATCATTCAGCGGGAAAACGGAAAGTCGGAGCTTTTGGGACTTGCTGGGGATGCCCGCTGGCACCAGGAACCGTCGCGGTCCGGCACCGGCAATCCAATGGCCCACTGCGTGCTTCGTGCTATGAGCATGGTCGCCCAGAAACTGGTGCGCCACGAGCGGCAGAAGGTTGGCCTGCCGTTCGTCCACTCGAATCTCGAATTCGACTGCTTCCAGGACCAACCCCTTCTGGAAGAGGAGCGGATTCTTTTCGAGGAGGAACACCCCAATTCCGAAGGCTACCTTTGCCACGGCCTCGAGCTTTACACGACCCACGAGCCCTGCGTGGAGTGCTCGATGGCGATGCTTCACTCGCGCATGGGCAAGATTGTGTTCTGCAATCGCATGCCCCTGACTGGCGGCATCGCCTCGGAGCAGCGCGGAGAGGGCATGCCTGAGCTCGCCGAGTATGGTGGCGGGAACGGGCTTGGTCTTTTCTGGAGGCGCGAGCTCAACTGGAGCCTGCTGGCTTGGGAGTGGGAGCTGAGCGACAACCTCAAACCTCTGCCTCCTGTCGCACACACGCGCCATGCCTAGGAACACGGGCTGTACGGAGCGTTTTCGAGATGTTTTAGTCCCTTGGGGACCGAGGCACCGGGGGAACGACTAGCAAGACGGGAAAGGGTCGGTACTGTTCTTTGCTCCCGAGCATCATGGGTTTCTTTGTGGTTCCTATTTTTTTTCTTGGCTGTCAGGGCAAACAGAGGGGTTAGATAGCTCTCTGGGCTCCATCCTCATGTGTGGTGATTATGACGAGGTGGAGGTGGAGGTAGAGGTGAAACATGTACGGTGCCTGTTCAAAGCAGGCCGGCCGCCGGAGAGGTCATTGCTATGCCGTTGTAGTAGGTGCAGGTAGGCATCGCATCAAAGGCTGCGGGTTATGAAAAGTACAGGAACATCATCAATTCACATGCCCCCCTCCTTGCTTTGGAGGGGGGAAGAAAAAAAAGAGAAAAGAAAAGAAACCCCGCGCGGCGTGTCTTCTTCTGGGCGGCTACAGCTGAGGCATTGATGGTCCCATGATGGATGCTGTCGAATTGCTTGGCAGAGTCAAGCATCTGAAGCATTTTGAAGGGGGAGGGGGGGGGTGCTTCTTATCTTATCACGAAGGCCTGGTTTGTTTCCTTCTTGACCCTCCTGCCGACCCGACCCCGACCACCATGTTCATCGCACTGTGGTGGAATTCGTCACTCGTTTTTGTCTGCGCGATTACACCGATCCACACTTGCTGTAGGAAAGCGAAATTCCTGGCAAGTCTTGTTTGCTCTGCGACCCCGTCTGAGAATGAAACGTCTTTGACTCCTGCCGCGTCCACCTGTACCTGGTGCTTTACCGAAAGCGCATCTCCTCCTCGCCGACAAAGAGCTATCGAACCGCCGCAGCCTCGCGACCCGCCAGCAGCATATAGCTCGGCCGACTGCTGCCCCTGCTGCTCCTGCTGCCAGGAGCACTATCTTCCGTTGCTATACTACAGCCACCGGCTTGACGGCGAGCGACGCGCCATTCCGCATCTCCCTATCCATCCTCTCCCGCTGGGTCGCCGACATCATCATGCCGGACGCGAAGAAGAGAACCGCCACGACGGCCGACGCCCCTGCGGCAAAGAAGCGCCGCACCGACAAGGACGCGCAAAAATACTACGCCGTGCGCGCGGGTGTGCGTCCCGGCGTCTACCTGACGTGGCCCGAGTGCCAGAAGCAGATTAACGGCTTCGCCGGCGCGCAGTGTATGTTTTCTCTGCCCCGAGCTCACAGCTCCCGGTGATCCCTCTGATGAACCCTCTCCTCCCCCCTCTTCCCTTCCCTGGTCCTCCCACCGCTCGACCTCTCCCATGCGAAAGGGGAAAAAAATGCAAGGAGAAGGAGGAAGCTGATGAGATCCGGTATGAAATATGTAGACAAGTCCTTCCTCTCGCGCGACGACGCGCTCGCCTTTGTGGCCGGCAAGAACCCCGCGCCGCCAGCCTCGGGACCGCCCCAGCCGGCCAAGTTTTACGCCGTGGCGCGCGGCGAGCAGCCAGGCATCTACACGGACTGGCCGACGGCGCAAAAGGCCATTGGGCTTAACGCCAAGGGCAAGGGGCCCAAGTACAAAAAGTTTGAGACGAGGGCCGAGGCCGTCGAGTTTATCGAGGAGTTTGGCGACGCGACGACCATCGCCAAGGTGACGGGGGGCCACGGCGGCAGCGCCGCGCTGACGAAGAAGACGACGGCCACGGCCCGGGGCGCGCAGGAGGCCGTGGGCCAGGGCATGCTGGCCATCTACACAGACGGGAGCAGTCTTGCGAACGGCAAGGTCGGGGCCGCGGCGGGGGTGGGTGTTTTCTTTGGCGTGGACGATGCGAGGTATGCACTGGACGGCTGGCTTCCCCCCTCTTTTCAATCCCTTTCTCCCCCCCTCAGATCATGACTTTTTGGTGTGACGGAAACTGACTCTGGGCGCCAAAGGAATCTCTCCGAGCGCCTCGAGGGCGAGCCGCAGACGAACCAGCGCGCGGAGCTGACGGCCATCATCCGAGCCCTGGAGATCGCGCCCGACGAGCAGGACGTGCAGATCTTCACGGACAGCCAGTACTCGATCAACTGCGTGACGTCCTGGTACAAGGGCTGGCAGAAGAAGGACTGGCACAACTCAAAAGGCGAGCCGGTGAAGAACCGGGACCTCGTCGAGGAGGTGCGGGAGCTCATCGAGACGCGCGAGGCCGAGGGCGCGAGCACCGTCTTCACCTGGGTCAAAGGGCATGCCGATAACGTGGGGAACACGGCGGCGGATCACCTCGCCGTCGCTGGCGCGCGGATGCCGCCGAGGTAGAGAGTCTGTCGTTTGGAACAGTGTCCCTGGTGTGATGCGTCTTGTGGAAGGGCTGTGGATCGGCGGTTCATGTGCAAGCGGTCGTCGACTTGTGTGTCCCGGTATCTTACATGCTTCGTGGCACGCGTGTGTGGTATCTCTCTCTCTCTCTCTCTCTCTCTCTCTCTCTCTCCCTCTCTCTGTCCGTCTCTTTTTGGTACCCGATGCTGTGTGCGGCTGCAGCCTCTATACTTGGACTCTCTGGTGCGGGACGGTGGCACATGCTATCTTCATTGTGCGAGCAAGCCCCCATTTCGGGCTTGGGGACTCTCTGTTGTTGGACCTGTTGATGTTCTTTTCTGGTCTGTTTTCCCCCCCATACCCTCTTCAATGTGTCTTTTCCTTCCCCTGACCTGGATCGAAGCCAGCAATGTTCATGTCTCTGATGTTAACTGTATTGATGATCACCAAAGAACATCTCCTCTATTGGGCCTCTTGACTTGACATGCCTCCTCCGTAGCCATGTGGCGTGAAACGACATGCCAAGCCGATGATCACGAGGAGGCAGCACAGGCGGAGTCGTAGACGAAGCGAGCAGCCTGCTCTGGCTAGCAACCGGTGCAAGGTGTATCCGATGTCGATCCATATCGCAATTGTGACGCCAACTGGTTGTGTGAAATCCCTGGGTGTGCCTGGTAGCGTTCGGGGCGGGCCGAACCGATCCAACCCTGTCGTTGCGGAGTTTATATTGGCCCTGAACAGAATGAAGCATGAGGAGGAGGAGAAACTTGGAATCTCGCGAGGGAGACGACCATGGGTAGCCAGGCCGCGAACGAGCCAGCAGCGGGGGTAGCCGCATGTCTAGAGTACACTGCGACCAACACCATGTTGCTCTCCGGCCTTTGACCTCGGTTTGCTTCGTCGAACGCCCGTGGCCGAAAGCACCAGCACCTCCATTCTTCGACTGGTCGTCGACGGTGATTCTGGACGTGAAGAGGTCCGTTGGTCATTGAATGAAGATGTGTCATTATGACGAAAACTCTACGTGAGCGGTGTGTCTAGAAGCAATAAAATCATCATTCATCCTTATTCCCGGCGCTGTGCATCTGATGCAGGCAGTGAAGATGGTAGTTTACGATGTTGATCATCGGACGATAACATGGCCGATATCAAGAGGACAATCACGCTGGACAGAATCAAGACAGGCCCAAACCATACCTCCAACCGCCCGCCGCTCCTCGCCATGTGTTGTTCACAGTAGACGCACGAGCGAGTTCTCACTTTGGGTTCGACTTTCATCTGTTGAAGTAGCAGAAAGTGCCCGGTTGGTGACGCGCACCAGGCTTCTAGCACCCAGACGGGACCGCAAATCCATTTACACGACCTTGCGTGCCACTACCCACCGTCGCGTCCTGCCCGAACCCTCGCCGCGCAAACCCCTTCCAGATGGCACACCGGTTAGCGCCTGCCGTCAGGACGCGCTCGGCCTCCAGCAACGCATCTCGCGCCTGGAGATGGTTCGCGTTGCACGGCATGAGGGCCTCGCTGTCGAGGATCAGCTTCAGAAGCAGGTACCGAGCGCCCCTCGGCACGCCGGCCGCGTCGAGCACGACGCTGTCGACGTCGCCGATGCCGTGCGCGTCGGCCAGGTTCCAGAAGATGTCGTAGAAGGCCGACGCCCAGACGGTGGCCAGGTCGAAGCCCCCCGAGACGACGAGCCGGTTCAGCGATTCGAACGTCAGCGGCGTCGTCGCCAGGCTCGTCGAGATGTAGTGCGACCGCAGTCCCACCGGCTGGCCCGTCACCCAGTCGGCAATGGTGTAGTCCTTGCTGCGCGTGTCGCCGGCCTTGACGCGCAGGATCGTGGGCACAAGGTCCGAGAAGCCCTCGTCGATCGAGAGGCCGTCCATGTTGCTGAGGCACCGCCCGCTGCCTGGGCCGCCGACGAGCCGGGCCGTCACGCCGTGCATGTACTCGTGGAGGAGGACTGTCGTGTCGAACACGCTGTCGCGCGCGAGGCTGCCGGACCAGATGCTCATCTGGATCCGAGGACTGGTTCCGTCTGCGGGTATGGTAATGAAGGCCGTTCCGGTCATGGTTTGGATGGTGAGGTTGAGGGGGTCTCCGGCTGCTCCGCCCTTGCCGTTGTTGTTCGTCTGGAAGTTGCCCGCAGGCTCGTTGAAGCCGAGAGCATACAGGATGTCATGGAACTTGTTGACAGTGTAGAAACCCTGCGCGGCGGATGCTTCGGTGTACCGCTGGCCGCTGGCGACTGGCGAGTAGGGGTAGGAGAAGACGAGGGACGGAGAATTGGCGGGCGTGCTGCCCCCAGGGTAGGTGATGAAGGCATTGTTGCCGCGCAGCGTTGTGAAGCTCTGAGTCCCATCGGAATGCCAACCGAATGGTGACGAGGCCGTGGTTTCCGGGTTGACCACGAGCTTGCGATCTACCTCTGTCGGGTTGCCGGATCCCCATGGGCTGGAAGTCCTGTTAGCTTGAAGGGTTTTTAATGGTGGAGACAAAAGTTGAATCTCTTACTAGACTTCGTAGCTCGCAGTCTTCACAGAATCGTATACGCCGGAGACTGACGTCCCGGTGTCGGCGTCTACGTAAACGAGGAGCTGGTTATCATCAATGTTGGTCTCCAGCCTCCAGACTAGCAAAACAGTCTCTTCATGTCGGACATAGGCCAGCTTGGCTTTCGGGTCTAAGGACGAGCCTTTAGTACCTCGGATGACGAACAGCCCTGCCTCGTCAGTTGGCTCCGCGGTGGCGCTCGAGGCGTCGCTGATGGGGAGATTCAAGAGTTCGACGGCGTTCTTGAAGGCCACGAGAGGGTCGCGCTCTATATCTCCGTAGTTTCTTCTGTGCAGATCTTGCTTGGCAAAAGAGTTTCCAAAAGACAGAACAGTCCCGTTCTCGAGGATCTATGGCAGTGGACATGGTTAGATACGTGCCCATCATTGCGCGCTGGACCCTACATACGTTGACATTGAAGCTGGCATCATCCACATCCACACCATCAACAGTCTGCTGAAAATGAACGTGTGCAACACCGTTGGTTCCCACATAAGCATCATCTATCAATCGAAACGCAGCGCTGGGAATAGCCTCCCGAAGGGTTCGTGTCGCGATGTCAACATAGTCAACGGCGCCATCACGTTCCCGCCTGATGCGTTGAGAGTCCTTGGCCGGTAAGACGTCAAAAGAAGTATAGGTCGACGCAGCCCCGAACCGATAACTGCTGAGAGCCGCCGCGCGATTCTTCCACTGCGGGGAGGAGGCAGGTCCGCGCGCGGGATGGGCGGCCGCGAGACCCGCGAGCGACAGCAACGTGCTCAGCAAGACCATTGTGTTGAAAGAATGCGCCGGAGACTCGACATAACAGGCAAGAAATCGGCTCTCAGTATCATGGATGTCTTCTACCTGTCGGATCTTATACTTGCAATCATGGAAACGATCCGGCTTCCCATAGTCGCACGCCATTGCCGACGCGGCAGTGCAGAGTCCGGCACGGATGCCCGAATCGGAAGGTCAGCGCATCGAGGTGTGATTGACCTGCATTTCAACAACGCGTGAAGGCCCAAACGAGAATCGATCGTCCCTGAAACCTTCCTCCTAGAGTCAGTCGTCCGTCCAAGAAATGCAGTACCACCTTCAATCTCATAAACCGTGCTAGGGCTATCCAGAAGCTCGTATCGATACTTGGTTTGCAGAGCTTCTTCGAAGCTTCGGTGAGGGCCAGGCATTCCGTGATGTGATGCAGCGCTCGCACTGTCCGCCCTATGAACCGTACATACGTATGCTTTTCGATATTCAATTTCGCTGCGCGAAATTGACTTGCTGGATCAACATCTTCATTTGCATATGCGACTTCGAGACTCCATTCATTAATCAACAAATCAACTTTCAGATATCGAATACAGACAGAGAAATCCATCCCCATCAATGGTATCTTCGCCTCGTCATATCCAGACAAGCAATATGAGTACAAAGGAATCATGCGCACCAATAAAAGGCGAACTGTCCACCGCCAGGCTTTTCCATCAAACCGCTTAGCGCACAATCCCTTCACTGTGCGAAGCTTCGGCGGCTGCCATGTCGTGCTTCTTGTCGTGTGGCGATGATTGGTCAAACGCGTACAGCGGGGGCATGGGCTCGACGTCCTGGAAGAGCAGATGCTTCTTGATGTACCATGGTAATTTCTTCAGGTAGTACCCGGCATGTTCCCGATTGGTGACATTGAACACGTTGTCGAGCTCTTCAAGAGTGAGGTTCTTCGTCTCGGGCAAGAGGAAGTAGGCAAAGACCCAGCCGATGAGGTTCCATGTGCCGTACCAGCAGAAGGCGCCCGTGTCACCGTACGCCTCGACCATGGGAAGCCACGAGAAGGAGATGATGAAGTTGAAGCCCCAGGTGACGGCCGTGGCACTGCACATGCCGATATCGCGAATGTGGAGCGGGAACGCCTCGGCCGAGTACGTGAACGGAACCGGACCGGCGCCGGGCGAGTACACAGCCATGAAGAGATAGATACCCGTCGTCACGCAGGCCAGACGCGCAGCTTGTTCGGTGATGAGGAAACTGAAGCCTGTGAAGAACATGAAGAACGACATCAACGGGAAGGTGACCAGCAGAAGGTTGCGGCGTCCAAACGTGTCAATTGTGTAAATGGCCGGAATAGCAAACAGCCAGTTGACAAGACCGGTGCCCATAGTGACGAGAAGAGCCTCGTTCCGCGTGAAGTCGGCATTCTGGAACATGATCACTGTTCTCCTGTTAGCACCATACCCGTAGAAATATGTAGATGAAGGGCTAGACGCACTAGAGTAATAGACGATGACATTGACACCACAAAATTGTTGCATGAACATTACAAACCACGAGGACTGTGCGGCACGGCGATTTCTTCGCACTGTGAAGAATTCTTTCCAGCTTCGACCCTCACGCTCGGCGCTCTCAATCTCGAGCAGCTTGTAGGCGTAGTACATGTCGCGGGCAGCCTGGACCTTGGTGTATCGAAGACGGCAGGTTGCCTTGAAGGCCTCGGGATAACGTCCCTTCTCCATATACCAGCGGGGAGACTCGGGGCACAGGTAGACTTGGACCATGACGACGAGGGGAGGGATGGAGGTGGAGGCCATGATCCAACGCCATTGAGTCTCCTCGCCGAAGATCGTCACTCCAGAGAAGGCGACGCCAACAATGGTACCAAGGGCGATGCCGAACGCCGTCCACATCTGCCACATCATGGTGAGGGCACCACGAATGGTCTTGGGTGTGGACTCGGCCGAGTAGACGGGGGTGGTGGAAGACTTGGCGCCGACGGCGAAACCAAGGAAGAAACGGGCGATGAGAAGGTTGTACCAGTTGTTGGCAGCAGCTTGCCAGAAGCCGGTGATGACGGACAGGCCACAGCTGATGAAAATGGTGCCGCGACGACCGAACCAGTGATTGAGAAAAGGGTTGGTCCAGCAGCCGATGAGCGCAGAACAGAGGTAGGGGGCACCGTTGACAAGTCCCCGGATCTCTGCTGACATGTCTGCCAAGCCGAGCTCCTGGAAGTAAAAGTCTTGAGCGCCGTTGACGGCCGACTGATCCATGCCCTGAACAATGGCGGATCCGGCGCAGAGAGTGCAGAGGAAGTACAGCATAAAGGGCTGGCTCCAGCGGTGGGTCAGCTCCCTACGCAAGACGTTCTTCTCGTCCTCGTCGAGCACTTCAATACGCTCGAAAGCGCCATCCTGGTTGTTGACCTGAGCAACGAGAGCGCCCTTGCGGAAGACTTCTTGGTATTCCGTCAGACCCTTACTCTGAGTAAAGTTGTCGACGTCGGCGAGCACCTGATCCTGGGTCAAGCCTGCGAGTGGGTTCTGAAGCAGTGCAGCGACTGAGCTGCGGCGGCGCCGGTCCGGACCGCCAGGACCGCCCTGATGCATGGCCTTCTCATCAGTCATGGGCTCATTGTTACTGCTGCTGCGGCTGGTATTGGTGCCTTCCATGCGGGGGTGGTCGTTGGTGAGGTCTGTTGGCGGAGCCTCATCGTCAGCACGTGGAGGAGGCATGACTGAAACAGGTCCCAAGCCTGGGGTCAAGGCTTGTCTGTGTCGATTTAGCCTAGGACTCGCAGATGAAGTATGATGAGGAGATTTTGTGGAGGGCTTAACGAAGAAGACCTCGACAACAGGGAAGACTGTGAAGTTGGGTGAATGAAAAGAACAAGGGATCCAGGGAGATTCTGGTGGGAGGATGGTCCCTTAAGAAGTCGAGGGTCGTCTGGGGATCATACAGGGGGTACTAACGAAAACAGGAGACAGGCAAGACACCAGACGAAGGCGTCTACCACGCCGAGTGATACCAAGAAATCATGCCTGGTGGAGCATGGGGAAGTGGACCGCATTCCCCCAGCCCAGCGTGTCGGATGATCATGAGGACGGGTTTCCACTCAGTGACGACTCTGGCCATCAGCGCAACGCGGTCTGGTCCTCCACGGGGAAGGGGTGCGAGGGCGGCATGGCGAGTTGGCGTGCCAAACGGTAGTACTATGGTGGATCCAACGGTGGAAACGCTGAAGTCGAGACCGTGAGACGGCGCGCCCGACGGGAAAATAGGATTTTTAGGCCGGTTGTCTGTCCAAATGTCTCCAGTCTTTCAAGTCGCCCCAGTCGCCTCGCCCGGTAACCTGCAGGACGACCAACAGGAGCGGAAGTTGAACGGTGGATATCAGGCCATGGCCAGTCGAAGTGGGCTTGCTGCGACGGCAAGTGTAAGGCTGCAATAAGAGGGACGGCCAATGCAGCGCGGCCGTTCGAATACCTAGCTCGAGCCGAGCGACATTACAGACTTAGTCCGAGTTCGGCACACAAGTCTATGAGGACGGCAGCCGAGACAATCAAGGCGTTAGATAAGTTGCGGAGGCTCGGTGACGGGCGGGCGGGTTCTTCTCCAGAGACCTTAATCGAATGTGGCCTTGGTCAAGGGTAATGAGCATGGCTGGTGTAAACCGCTTCCAGTATCGAGCATGGGCCACATCGTTCAAGGTCTTGCTTAGCACCAGTAATCCTGTTTGCCTCTCTTGTGTCCTAGGTCGCTATAGGACGTTCCTGGCGTGCAGTCAGCATATCACATTGTCCACGGTAGAAGTCAAAAGCTCGTAGAGAAGATAGTGAATGCGGCGAATATTGCCAAGGCTACATCAGCATTGGCTCACGTCATACTTACCATCAGGAGACACATTGAGCAGACATGTGCCGGACGTGTGCCGGTTGACACAATCGCGAAGGGGACGGATGCAAGGCCAAGCAGCCCGGCCAGCTGAGAAGCGCAAGGATGGTAGTCTCAGTCGAACAAGCCAAGACGTGCTCGAGGGCTAGTGGTTGGCCAAGCAGCAAGGGTCAGCCGTGTCCTCGAGGTCTTTTGCATTCGTGTCGGGAGAGAGCCTTGATAAGCATGCGTACTCTTGTACTTGAGGTCGTTCTCGAGCCTGAGGTTGTTCCCGAGCCTGAAGGAAAGGCGTGAAGTGGTGGAGTGGAGATGATTCTTGGCTCGTTGGGATTCCTTGGGTGTGAAGAAAGCAGCAAAGGTGTTTCTGGAAGGAGAGAAATGGGAAACGCCATAGACTGGGAGGCCAACGGAGGGGTGAAGTCGAACATTCATTCACTGTGGGCGGCGGGCAGGAGCGATGCGCGCTAAGGATCGGCACAACAAGCGGGCCGGTCCCCACCAAGGCCCACAACATGGCAGCGACTACGACGTCCGAAAGCATCTCGTCCACCGACCATCCACCACCTACCCTCCATCCCAAGCCACCTAATCACTTCATCCTTCGCAGACCGGCTTGGCAAACACTCGGCATTCGTCACCAAAGACATTTCGAGCGCTGTTGGTGCTCACAGTCTGGACCGCCGCTCTCCTGAAAGTCCGCATCTTCTCCGCGCCCCTGACCTGCAAATCATCTTCACCTTCCGGGCCTTGGTGATGGACATTCAACGCCTCAACGCATTCACCGCTTGATGCTCTTCCAAGCAGGACCGAAGTTCGCCACAAAACAGCGGCCAGTTATAGACCAATGCTATGATTGTCCTCACGCTGCTTCCACGCTGCAGAGGCCACGCTGCGTCACACGGGAATGCTTCGTCTCATTGCCATGCTCTTGGTTTGATACCAGCCCTGCTAGCTCGGCGGGGCATTCTGGACGAGCTTACTGCGTACATTGGAATGAGGAAAAAAAAACAGACTTCCCTCCCTCCATCAGACTCGGAAGGATCGTCTTGTGAACTCGCCCAGGCACTAGGCTAACACATCACCAGTCGTTCGGCGCGCGGGATTCCCGACTCGGCGAAGCATTCGGCGGCTTGCCGCTCCTCTGTCTCTTATCCCACTGCTCTCAACTCTCGCCAGACCTTCATTGCGCAGCTGTGACCGTCTCTGCCTCGCCAACGCCATGCATCCGTAATGATGGCGCTTATGCCCCCGACTGCGTAACCTCTCTCTCGTGAGCCACGGCCTTGGGGATGCCAGCTGGATGCCTTCAGTTGACTCGCCTGTTCGAGATGCCCAGAAGATCCCGTCGTACAAATCTCACCCTTGGCATCTCAGTCATCCACGCGTTCTTTACTTTTGCGATGCCAATCAGCGCCATCCCGACCAACCACGCCACATGCGGCCGATCGCGATCGTTTCCCTGCAGCGGATCCACGCTAGCGTTATGGACGGTAGTCAGTGATATCGACCCCTGAACAACGAAACTCAACCGTTCGGGTGTTTCTTGGCTCGGCCAACCGACCCTCCAACTGTCCCTTCCTTCAGCTTCCCTGCATCACCAAATAGCCCACATGCAGGAGTTCCGCATCTCACTGATGTCATACTACCTTCCAAGCAAAAGGGACGTTGCCAGGGGCCAGGGGCCTTGCGAGGAACCTTGCCAAATCGACACTTGTATCGCCATCTAAACGACGCTTCATCACCGTCAGCCCATATATTCCCGCGAGAGATGACTTTTTTTCCGATTCGGACGTTGTTACGTGTGCAGGCTGTCTTGCCGTCTGATTCCGCAGGCGGTCTACTGAAGTTACATGATGGGTGGGGGTGGGGGGTAACAGCTTCAAATCGGATCACCGAGCAACTGTTTGCGTGACAGGCATGGCGTCGCTGTCTTGCGTCCTGCCGGTACCTGGATCTTCCCAACGCCGTTGCCCCATGTCAAGACTTCATCCCTCAACTTCCCCGCTCCCCAAGACTTTTTGTTCTCCCCCCGGAGCCTTTGGGGAGGGAGCAGTACAAGTCGCCAGCCAAAGATATCGGGATGCCGCCCTACGGTAAGCCGCTCCGAGCAGTCTCCGCGCTCCGCAGACTCAAATTGCATGTATAACCAACCCGAATTCAAGGCCGCTGATCATCTTGTGGGCACCCAGAGAAGTATATTGTCCACGTGCCTACGTGGGTCAGTAGCTTTCCTCATGGCCAGTCAACGTCTAATCGCAAGTCAGTGTCTCCGCTGAAAAGGTATCATCGTGCCACTCTAACTGTCGGGCAGCGTTGCAATCGTGCCGTGTCATGGGTCGCCAGACGCAAATGTCTGACGAAGAAGCGGAACTCGGTGGCGGGAGACCGATATTTCAGTCGACCCGCGAATCTGCATTCTACCCTGAATCGCCAAAGCCGAATGCCCCTTACATTTCGGGCAGACTAACATGGTGATATTTTCTGCATGTCGAGAACCACCCCTGCGACCCCACGAGCATCCACCATTCATGATGAATCGAAGTTTTGCAGCTGGGTCGAGAACACACAGACTGTATTCTGGCTAGCTACCATCCAAGCACCCCGACTAGTCGAGCGCACAAGCGACTGATGAGACCCAAGATCGGCCCGCCCCCCTTATTGCAACTTACACCGGGCTCACTCTCGTTCTCAATCCTTTTAACATCTCCACACATGCTACCACCCGGACATTATCATCCGCTCAGCAGCTCTGCCATTTGTACTTCAGCACCTCGGTCACAGGCGCGCCACTTCCACGTTCTCGCCCGAAGGTGACCTTTCCGCTGCCCTGTGCCACGATGCGGAAGTTGACATTGAGGATCCCCACGTATCCATCGCTCCCCACGCACCTCGACGCAAAGTCGAGGCTCTGCGAGACTGCAACGTTGCGCGAGATTGGCCCGACACCGGCCACGATGGTCGACTCCTTGGACGTCTGGAATCTTGTGTTAGCGCCGCCTCTCGGATTTGCCTCATTCAGCTCAAGTGACGCCCACAACCCGGCTTACCGAATCTGAGGCATTCTCCGACCAAAAGGCAACGGTGAGAAACTCGGCCTTGGTCACGGGGCTGACGTACAGCCCGCCGCGGAGCGTCGCGTCCTCAACGAGCAGGGCCTTGCCGGCCTCGCCCTCGTCGATCTGGACGTGTACCTGGCAGGACGTCGTCGTGCCGGCGGCGAGAGTTTCGCTAAAGTCGTGGAACATGAAGACGAAGGCTTCGTCCGCGGATGACCAGGACACCTTTGTGTCTTGCGGACAGCCCTTGCCGCTGTGGACCACGGAACGCACGCGCAGGCTGGCGGCGGTACTAGCCCACAGCGCTGTCAGGAGGGTGGAGGGACGGACCATGGTGGCTGAAGGGCGGCAAGACGAATTTGCTGAGCTGGAAAATGTCGTTTCCGTACGCGCAGGGTATCGTGATGTTTGACTTCTCGCGTTGGCCTGAGGGGGCTGACTGCTTTAGAAAATACGTCAAGCCGATACATCTTTATATGCCTCGGGGCATGGGTGGGGTTTCCGTTACACGTTTCTTTAGAGATGTAATGGCTGGCATGGAACCACGGTTGGGCGTCGCGACTTCTTTATTTCACTGGACGCTGATCGCGGGGTTTGTCGTCGGGTAAAATGCCCTATATCAGCCAGTCAATTTGTCCAGCATCAATGGGACACCTCGGAGCTTGGGCAATGGGGCCTAGACGTCGCCAAGGTCTGTGCTCGTTGTGGAATCACCGACCTGATTTGGGTTCAAAGAAGCCATTCGACTTGAAGTGCTACGTCGGTGGACTCTCATGTCACCATGCGCTTTTCATGCAGATTTCAGCTGTGCCGAAAGTGCTACGCTGGGCGCTGGGGTGGTAATGGACCGAGCCACTCAAGCCTGTAGCCACTTGTGCTTAGGTCCGACCAACACAGAGCGGGCGGCGATCTATTCTATCAACATAGACTACCTACCTAATCAAGACTCAGAGCCATATCTCGCTGATCCCAGGGATTCCCCGTGAAAGGGCCTCGACGCGGCGAAACCTCCAGCCGCCTTGTTTTGGTAATGTGCTCGGTCAAACCGATCCTCGTCCCACGGGGTTCGTCCATATTGCGGGCCTCTGGGCCGGGTAAGATGACGGCAGTGCCTTTGGACGCTCGGCCAACGGCTGAGTAGGAGAGAGGACGCGGGGTAAAACAGAGCTCGTCTACGGCCTGGAGCCTCGCTGCTTTTAGCCTAAGAGGCGACTGAGTAGCACTGAACTCGGGTCTATGGCCCAGCTTATTTAAATGTGGCTTGCTGGTACCGGAATCTGACCACCGAGCTGTCCAGTGATGTGCTGGGGAAGTCAACTATGAGAATTTGACGAGGCCACATAGCCTGGTGGCGCGGAGAGCGTGAATGGCGGCTGATGAGTGAATGGTCGACTGGCTTGTGGCTCATACGGCTAGGAATATAATACGAACATCGACCGCAAGAACTGCGAGATATTCGGGGACCAGCCTGGCCAGGCAACGTCAGGCTGGGTACACGGCAGGCCTGAAGACTCAACATGCCATGGCCCCAAATGAGAGATCGGGGGTATGTCAGCATACACAGAATTTGAGGCTCGACAGACTGACTCTACTGAGAGTGTTGACAGTTTGTTCTAGTCTTTTATCTACACATCTCTCAAGACATGTGATTGTGGTTATAGGGTTCATCTCACAAAGGTGTCCTCCTCTCCCAGTCAATTGTGTCAAAACCTCAGATCGTGGCGTCTCGTTCGATATCTGCCTAGGATTTCCGCGACAAGACCACTCTGGTAACCCACAGATGTCAAAGACCTCCGGGCGAGTTCCTCCGTGTGATATTTGGTAGACGATACCAGCGAGAGCATCTCGACTGAGAAAAAGAGATGTCTGACTGCGTCCCTCATTCGCAACAAATTCAGGCATGCCTTCATGATCGCGCAACGGTCGCCTTCTCTGGTCAATGCGCAGGATGATAGGCACTCTTAGCCGGCGCGACAGTGATTCGCAGTGCGCGCAGGAGTGGATCATAACATCGGACACCTGTTCTTCACCCACATCAAAGGCGGAGATGCAAAGGCGGAGGCGGGTCGTCCAAGTCGCAGATGTTGTTGCGTGAGCACCGGCGACGGCATTCGTTGATAGTTGGGGCCGTTGACGCGTATGTGATGACCGTCCTAGGCCTGGAGCGCAAAGGGCGGCAGAAACCATGCCCACGTAGAGAGTCAAAGCAAAAGCTCGACTACCACTATGGGCTGGAATCTCCAGATTTTACGCAAGTGTAGGCTTGAGAGTTGGGACTTATTTGCAGGTAAACCTCCAAGAGCCAATCACTCAGCGCAAGTGACACCGGCCATTGCGCCACTGAAGACGGCAGAGGGACTGCAAAATGTCCAATGTGTGGAGACGAGCCGTGACGAGTCATGGTGCTAGCCATGGAGTTGTCAAGGGATGAGCGAGCTCCCAGATCTTTGAAAGCCAAAAGTTGGACATGGTGACCCAGTCATGGGGCGGTCTCTGGAAGTGAGCTTCGTCAGATGGAGCAACGGCTTGAAGCGGTGGTTTGCAATCCGCCGCATTGTCTCCAGATGTTCATGCAAGGCCGCAAATGTCCTGCAGCCCGGTCAGCACGCCTCTAGGAAACGTTGATTGGACACAGCATGGGACTCACCTTTCTTCTCTCCCTGAACTCGGCATAGATACGGTTCCAGATCGTTCGAGCCGTGCAATCCTCGCTTCCATCGTCTTTCTTGACACACTTAGGCTGCTTCTCGTTCAGCAGGTTTTCGGGCGTCGGCAGCCATGGCTTGGGGACAGGCCAGTCCGAGAAATGCAGAAACTTGGCCTCGTTGAAGACGGCCACCGGATCCCACACCTCCTCCTTGGAGCCGAGGTACATCTCGTGCGTCGTCGCGCGGAACTCTGACGTTAACAGGTCATACGGACGGTGGGGTATGACAAGGGCCGTGTCCTTGTAAAGGTAGTTGACGATTTCCATGTCGTAGTCATCTGGCCCAGCAGCGTTGACGCGGTCCTGGACGCGGGCGAATTCGGTCGCCGAGGGGGTGGCGAGTAGTAACTGGGAGGAGAGGATGGGTTTCTCGGGGAAGAGCCAGTAGGCGCGGGGCATGGCGACGGGGCAGGGCGGGAGCAGGAAGAGTTCGTCCATATTCTGGACTACGACGGAATCCGAGTCGAGCGAGAGGACGCGATCGTAGTTGGTCTGGTTGAAGGCTAGGAGCTTCGTAAAGGAATCCGCCCATGTCGCTAGAGGATCGGGGATGACACGTTGGCAAATTGCTCACTTGCTGTACAAAGGGAAAGAACCTAGAGAGAAAAAATGGCACATACAATCTTTCCCGGTTCTATGCTGAACCTCAATCGGCACCAGCTTGACGCCGTACTGTTCACGTGCCTTGATGAGAAGACGGCCGTCGAGCGTAGCGCTCTCGGATGCCGTGGGCTCCAGCATGCGCCCGGGGTACATCATGACGCGATCTGCTTTGCTCTGTAGCCTGGCGAGGCTCTCAAACAGCATAACGGAGTTGCAGAGGTACTCGCTGTTCGTCACATATTGGGTGTATGCGAAGCGCGACCAGTCATGGTCGTGGCCGGGGGCTTTTGATGACGAGGACTCCGGAACGCTTGGTTGTCCCGCCTCTTGTGCTGGCGCCGAACCGGCGAAGTGATCATGGCCCTGCAGACCGAATAAAACGAAGGTGGTCAAGATGATCAGGCAGGCAACCCAGCGAAAGCGTTTCGAGGCAAGAAGCGCGGCCAGACGGGGACTGCTTCCTAGACCACCATCAGGTGAGTTGGCGCCATGTTCCGCGGTAGAAAGTCGCGCGTATGTAGGCGACGTCAGAGAACGGAAGAACTGCGCTGCCATGGCTACGAACTGGGGAACGCTTGAAGACTTCAGTGTTCAGTTCAGACTGTCTGGTGAAATTGACGACGGGGAGAATGCTTGAGTTTATGAACGGGCGACACGGCGTCGCACGTCGGCAGACGCGTGTTGGTCACGGCAACTCCCGAGGGACGAACTGGCCTTCTCGTCTACCTTGGATGAAATGACCCTTGTGTTAGGCGAAAAGGCTCATTTTCGACTCGACACCACAACCCCGGTCATTTGGCGGCCATCGGGGAGAAGGCTGTTGGCGCCCTGTCTGTTGCCGTTAACCCCTGTCCGACGAGCCTCATTGAGTTTGCGGTATCCACTGGGAGCAAACGCATGGCCACTCACAATGGTCTTTTGGTAGTACAAGTAACTCAATAGACGCTCAAGACGAGTTCAGGGCCGGAAGTGTTTCCCGTACAAAGATCAGCTGTCATGCAAGCCTGTTACATACTGGGTTGGATTTTGCCTGCGCCGTGTGCGCTGTGTGCAGGGTGCAGAATATCATGTGGCACGACGTCTGGCTCCTGACCAACCAGTTCCTCTGGCCATGGCTCAAGGGTTCGGAATCCCTTCGAAGCCCGTTCGATATATTGCCTAGCCTTGCCATGTGCATGGAAATCATAGGGAAAGGCGCTCGTAGCTGAGCTGGCCAAGTTTTACTGTGATTCTTATGGTCCTTACGTCCCCTTCTCCCTTTCCGAAGCATTCTATTCAACATCTGGAAACTGATTTTATGTTTTGTCCGCTCAACACCAGCAGGCGGCTTGCAAAGCTGTTTTCGATAGCCCGCGATGGCAGTATTCAAAGTCAGATATTTTAGCTATATTAGCGCCGTGTTCAACTTCTTTCTCTTCTCTGACATCTCTCAAGTCAACGCACAAGCCCCCATTCAAGCACAATGGTCATCCAGGGGCTATGGCGCTGATGGCCCATGGCCTGCCGTCGAGGTCACCGTGGGCTCCGATTCCAAGCTCGCACTCTTCCCGGGACGGCCGTTCCAGACATTTGTCATTTCTACCGACTACTGCCGGCTTAACATCTCGGAGGGCTGCTATGCCTCCATGGCCGGCACATACAACAGGGCTCAGTCCGAGATGGAGAGAACTGGCTCCGACATGGGTATCCGGTTCTCGCCACCTCACAAGGAGTCGATGCTCGGCATGTCCGTCCGCGGCGGCGACTTCGTCTCTTGGGTTGATTCCGCGGATATTGGACACGCCAGAGTCGCAGATTCAAGCCTTGTGCTCATCGAGTCGCAGATGATGGCCTACCCTGGGGGCCAATGGTACCCTATGTCGGCTGGTTGCCTCGGCGTCGGCGGTCCCAGTGCCATCAATCAATCCTTTACCACCAGCACATACCCTATCAACGCCACCCTCATTCCTGGCAGGCTCTGGGAGAGAGGCGATGTTCCCTCCAACTCTTTCGGCCTTCACATTGGCTCCATGCAGCCTCCGCTCGGTGGCTCTCTGTGGTTCGGCGGTTATGACCAGAATCGTGTCATAGGCGATGTCCTCGTTACGGCTACCAGCTTCCACGAAGCCCCGATCACCCTCAGGGACATCAGCCTAGAGGTTGTACAGGGCGCGTCACCCTTCACTTTCGACACCAAACAAGACAACCTCCTGACGGCCAACAACGACACCATGGGCAGCGCCCTTCCCGTCTATGTCGACGGCTGCTCCCCGTATCTCACGCTCCCGAAGTCTACCTGCGATAATATTGCCTCGCACCTCCCCGTCATCTACGACTCTGACCTTGGCTTATACCTCTGGAACACCAGTGATCCCTACTGGCCCCTCGTAGTATCCTCTGCCTCTGTCCTCGCCTTCACCTTTCTCGCCAGCTCGAACACTGAGACCCTTGTCGTCCGCGTTCCTTTCTCACACTTAAATCTCACGCTCACTGCCCCTCTCGTCAACGGCGATCCCAAGCCGTACTTTCCCTGCTTCACCGGCGGCGACGGCCTCTACACCCTCGGCCGGGCCTTCCTGCAGGATGCCTTTCTGGGCGCCAACTGGAACCAAGACAAGTGGTTTGTGGCCCAGGCGCCCGGGCCAAAGGTGCAGGCCTCGCCCGACGTGGTGGCCATTCAGGAGAGCGACGAAGTCATTGAGAGTGGCTCCAACGACTGGGCGGCGTCGTGGGATGGGTTCTGGAAGGTGCTCACCCCAGACGAAGTTGACGTTGGCCCTGCAAGCACCGGGCTCAATACCGAGACGGCGTCGCCACCAGGTGACGATACAGCCGGGGATGGCGGTGGGCTGTCTACTGGCGCCATGGCAGGCATCGGCGCCGCGGCCGGGGCGGTCGTTCTGGCGTTCCTGGCGGCAGGCTTCTTGCTCTGGCGGAAGCGTAAGGCCCGGGCTGGTTCTTCAAAACGTCGGCAGCCAGTCGACGCCAATCTGAACGGCTGCCATGAGGATGGGGTTGTAAAGGGACCAGGAGGGTACCGGTACGGTAATCCGGCCGAGTTGCGGGACACGTCGCCGCCGTCAGTTGTGAGAGAACTGGACGGTAATGCACAATGGCTGCAGCATGAGGGCGATGACAATAATGGACCAAGAACTCACGAGCTGGCATGATTTGACTACAGGTACATAATAGTTATCACGCACATTTAATAGTATGTATACGACGTTTAATGAATTTTGGATTGCTGACCACGACAAGGCACAGGGGCCTCATTGCTTGCCTGAAAACCAGGTGACACTGTCGAGTCTCAAGTGACCCGAAGTAGAAAACAATTCCTCGGAGAATCGAAGCTGCAACTTCGACAAAAGTAGATACTTCGTTCGATATCGCATGTATGGACGGCAGACCCTTGAGGTGCTCTTTGAATATTGTGGTCGGATGCAAAGTGACGCGATTGCTCTACAACTGTTTTGTGTTACTGTACAATATGATACCAAGCGCAGCAAACTCCTCAAGGCCTGACCCAGGCCGAGCCATTTTTTGTTTGCCAATCATGTGACAATCTCTCATGCGAGCCCTGTGCTCTGCCACCGTGCTTCTTGCTCGCGATGCGCAAGCCATGCTGTCCCTCCAAGCCATCCCTCCAATACCACCATTATGCTTTCGAAACCCGAACTGACACGTGGTGAGTGGAGCCCTAATCGTCATCCGTGTAGCGAGGACCGCTCGCAGCAGGTGTCTCGGGCGCGCCGTATGCTGCTGGTGTGGGCGCGCTGTAGTAGCCGCGCCGGACGAGAAGCCGCTGGCAGCGGGTGTGGCGCAGCGGCGCTGGGGTTGGGGCCAGCATCCGCGCCGCCCCAACCGCCGGCCCAGCGCCGGGTGTTGGCGCGTTGACGGCTCCGGGTGTGGGGGCTGAGTAGGCGCCTGGTGTAGGGGCATTGGAGCGCTCCGGGTGTGGGTGCCGCTGAGCCAGCACCGGGCGTTGGGAAGCATCGTAGCGGCGGAAGCTGAGTAGCCGCCTCATGGATTCACCTCACTAGCAGCGGCGTTGCGCTGAAGCTCTCCATAGCCGCGTCTGATCGAGCCCAGGTATCAGCGCCGTAAGCTGGCGTTCTTGATCCAAGGCCGAACGCATCGCCACCAGGGGCAGGCGTACGGGCACCAGATTGCCACGCCGGTGTTCGATTCCCGCTGCCGTAGGCGGTACGGCTGCCGTCACCTCCATAAGCTGTGCGTGAGCCATCCGCCCATGCAGGCGTGCGGGAACCAAGATCACCCGATCCGCTCGACTTCCAAGCGGGGGTTCTACCACCGTGGTTCGCTGCGGGTGCTGTGCCTTTGTCAGTGACGGGTTTAATATCAGTAATGATAAGTGAAACTTACTCCTAGAGCCCCACGCCGGAGTACGCTCTGCGCCGGCCATGGGTGTGCGACCTCCCTGCCAGCCCGAGTCGCCGCCGCCGCGACCACCTCCGCTGCCAAAGCCGCCGCCCCTTCCACGGCCTCCACGGCCACCAATATCGATGACGGCTCCCGTGTTCTTGTCCTTGTAGCTGAGATGGTCTTTGGGCACACTGACGGTTTTGCTCTTGGTATGCAGCTCAACCCGTGCATGTGTTTCCGTGGTATCCTTGACAATACCCAGCAGACCTTTGTAGCCGCCCTTCTTGATAATGACAGTCTGGCCAAGCGCGCGATCACGACCAAAGGACTTGGGGGGCGCCATCTTGCCATCTGAGCCAGCAGGAAGCCTCTTCATGGCAGGGTTCATCTGGTCCAGATTGGGGCCGCTGGGGACCACGCGCCCACCCTTGGCTGCGATAGTGGTGACGTTGCCTGCCCTGGTCACAAACACACCAGCATTCTCCTTGTTGTCATGGCTGTGCAAATAGATGTAAGATCGGTAGATGTGGATGATCTTGCCCTGTCTCTGCTGGCCACCCCATTCACGGACAACGTCATCAAGGCGGATTTCTGATCCGTTTCTGTCGGCCGCAACAGCAATCTTTCTCTGAGGGAGTTTGTTGGTGATCTGCGACGGCACGACTTGACGGGCGTCGCCATTTTGGTCGAGGACAGCGACCGATTCGCGATCGACTTTAACGATGCATCCGACAGTCGTGGGATCCAGTTGAACAAGATCAAGCAGCGAGTACTGGCCGAGGGATCCCTGGCCGCCCATGTCGCTGGCCTCGCGTACATCCTTGCTGAAGACGGTGACTTCCATGTTTGTCTGATCGGTGACAAAGGTGACACGATCGTCTTGAATCTTGACAACCATACCAACTTCATCCCGGAATCTGCTGCCACCGATGACCTTTACATGGTCACCCTCCTTGAAACGCTTGCGCAAGCCTTTGGTGGGCACTTCGATGACTTGACCCGCCAAGACGCCCTCGATAACCTCCAAGGTGACGATGTCACCAGAAACGGTGGTAGCTCGACCGACGACGCCCTTCTGCTCGCCTTCGTACACCTCAATAACATCGCCGGGCAGATATGTGACGTTGGTGTTGCTGTCCTTCAGGCTTGCAGCAAGCGCCTTCAGATCAAGGTTTTCCGTGCCGTCCTCGGCACCTGAGGCGAAACGAGTGACCTCCTCTAGAGTAGGGTTGACATCGGTAACAACCAGCTGCTGAATCTTGTATTCCTTCACCTGGAAGCCATTCTCGAAATCATCTCCCATGTAGGTCCAGATTTTGGTTTGAGGGTTGCCTTGGATGAACCGAGGGTGTCGCTTGCGAGCCTCGGCCTCGTTGAAGAGGCGCTGCGGAGGCCGAGGGCCGGGCATGCCGACCGGACGCTTGCGTTTGCCATCAGCCGTAATCTGGGTGGCGGAGTCGTCCCGTACACCATAGTCCAGTCTGGGGATGAAACGAACGCGAGCTTCAAGGCCACTCTCGGTAACATCAACAACTTGACCCAGGTCGCCAGCGTGTTTCTGTGGCCTCTTGAGCCGAACCCACGCTCCTGGCTCTAGGGTCGCGGTCTTGGTGACGCGCAGAAGATCGGGACGGTCTTTGATCTCAACCAGAATCAGCTTGCTTCGGGGGTAGACGTTGAGCATGCCATCGAGTGCGGCCATGATATCGCCAGAACGCGCTGCCTCAACGTAGATATAGCCCTTCATGACCGAGTTGGTACCGCCACGCTCAAAGGCAGAGATGATGGCCATCTCCTCTTTTGTGCCCATGCGCTCTTGGATCCTCTTCTGAATAGAGAAGACGACCTCTCGCTCCTTTCCTTCCTTGCATCGCACGGCCCAAATAGTGGGATCGTCAACACTAGGCATCAGCAGACGCTTGGGAACCACGGTCGAGTCACCGAAGCCCTTGGCTGCGCGACGATTGCCGTAACGTTGGCGGAGGATCTCGGCTTGCTTCTCGGCGTCCATGCTGGACTCCAGCTCTCGCTGACGGTCAAGCTCGCGGTGCCTGCGATCGTCATTGAGTCTTCCGGTATCGACAACGTCGTCAGGATGTTCGTTGTCGATAAAGTCTCCTATCTCTTCGCCGTCTTTTTCGTCATCCTCGCCGTCTTCCTCGTCGTCGACTTCGGCTTCGATATCGAAGAAAGCGGCGCGCCTGTCTCGGTGGCGCTTGCGACGATGGCCCTGTGAGATACACGTTAGCATCATGCGCCGTATGAACAACATGGGGGCTCCGGAGGGCATGCACGACCAGAGGTCAGGCTACAGAGGGTGCGTACCTGCTGAACATCATCCTCGTCATCCTCGTCATCTTCGTCGTCCTCATCGTCATCGCCGGCCCTGCCCCGTGGCTGATCGTCTTCATCATCCTCGTCCTCTTCAGCTTCGTCGTCATTCACGGCGCGACTTCCTGACCTGGCGGCAACCGGCGATGCCTCCTCTTCATCGTCGTGGGCAGGACTGTGATCCCTTGCGTCGCTCCTCTGGTGATCAGCATCGCCGTTGGCATTCTCGTCATCAGAGACATCGGCAGGGGCCGGGTTGAAAGCTTCGTCATCGTCGGAGTCATCGAACTGATTATAGTTGGAAGCCATCTTGGTTGGAAGGTGAGGCGATTGCCTCTGGCCAAAAGTACTGGGCTGCTTTCGATCAAGGTTCTGGCTGGACGGAAGGCGCGAGGGTTGGAAGAATTCAAGTCGACTGCGCGCGCGTCCGCTCTTTGTCTCGGGGTGGACGCGGTATTTGTACGTTGGCAGTTGGAGTCTGCGCCCAAAGATATCGGGGGGACGGAGAGTTGGGAGAGGATAAAGGCAGTCCAGTCGAGGTTCGCGACGTGACTTTTTGGTTGGTCGAAGCTGGTAGGAGAAAGGAACCCAGCTGGCCTTGAGTGCACGGACCGCCGGTCGAAGGTGTTCACCAAGGTACACCGAGTTGCTCACCGTACACCGGACCCCACCTCCTCATTCACTATCCCAACTACCGAGGGTAGAGACCAATAACCGCCGGTTCGTTTGCTGAGGAGCTGTTGTTTCTGTGAATGATGAGATCGGCGATATAATGTTATCCAACATACTTCGGCTACTCAGTCTTTCGTGTTTTCTCAATTCATTCAATTGGGCTCCTATCGACGACCTATGACTGGTTCATCTTGGGACTGTGTACGAAGTATCACTTTGCTTACAATGAAGGCAATTGTCATAGACGAGTTTGTCACAGTATGAAGTTGATCAGGAGAATTACACAGAAAAGAGGCTGACCACTCCAGAAACTTGAACAGATCCATACCACTGAGGTCCCAACGCCAACGCCAGCGCAAGATGGTTTCCTCATCGAGGTCGAAGCGGCAGGAGTGAACTTCGTGGACATCCTCTACGCCCAAGGAAAGCATCAGAACAACCGCTCACTCGTTCGTCCTCCTTTTACTCTCGGCCTGGAGCTCGCCGGGACCATCCTCTCGGCGCCCTCGCGCTCCACCTTCAAGCCTGGCGACAAGGTCTTCGCCGGCCACACGGGAGCATACAGCGAGGTCATCGCCCTCCCCTCGACTGCTGTCGTGCGCCGGATCCCTTCTTCGTGGGACGTCTCCGGCGCGGCCGGGATAGCTGCCACCCTTCCCGTTGCCTACGGAGCCTTCGTGAGGGCTGGTTTACAGCCTGGGCAGACTGTTCTCGTTCATGCTGCGGCAGGTGGTCTGGGTATCATGGCCGTCCAAGTTGCCAAGGCCATGGGCTGTCGCGTCATCGGAACGGCGGGTTCTGCGGAGAAATGCGCCGTAGCGAGGAAATACGGTGCTGAGGCCTGCATCAACTACTCCGATGAAAAGGAATGGTGGAAGCGAGTGCTCGACCTGACTGGGGGCGATGGTGTCGACGTTGTTTTTGACCCCGTCGGCCTGCTCAATTTGTCCTTGAAATGCACGGCTCATTTCGGGAAGCTTCTCATAGTTGGATTTGCTGGCGGCGAGATTGAGAACGTCCCTGCGAATCGCCTGCTGTTGAAGCAGGCGTCTCTGATCGGATACGTAAGAACCCCCTCCTCTGGTCGCCCACGAGAGTGGAGTGCTGACACTGAAAGCGTTTCGGCGAAACTTTGCGGCGATCACCGGAGGAGGACGAGGTGCTATGGAGCGGTCTGCAATCCTTGATCGACTCGGGCGCCGTCGTCCCTGTCGTGTATGATACCCGTTATAGCGGACTCGACAGCGTCCCGCAGGCTGGCTCTCCAAGACATGATGGACAGGAAGGTGTGGGGGAAAGCCGTCATCACAGTGAAAGAAGTAAGCCGAGGCCGGCACGGAGCAAGACTGTAACGAATACACATTTGAATAGCTGAACTCCGTCACAGCTGAGCCTCAGTCATGTGCCAGCGCCTGCTGCATATGACGTCTCCCGCCAATCTAACTCGTCGTACTCACCCAACCTTGTATACTCATGACCGATCACTGTCCTCATTGTCATCTCATCATCCTAGCGAGAAACTGGCTTTTGAAGACATCAGTCCATGGATACTGAGCGCCTGCAAAAGCGAGAATCCCCAACAGACATACCAAATACACGTGGAGGCAATGCTGGACCCAAACGCCGGGCTTCGCCATGCAAGTTCCACACGCAGTGAGCCAAGGCCTTGCGAGCGTGGACACCACAGTTCCATCTCGTAGGAGTGTCGCTGCGCGTGGTTGTTGTCATGAATATCATGGCATCTTGACACCCCAAACCCCCCTTCCGGCAGTGACGCCCAGCCAGTCACCATATTCGCCATTCGCCATGTGGGGCACCCAGCCTAGGTTTCCAATCTCGTGGTCACATTGCCAGCTTGCCGATGGGTTGCGGTAGCTGTCGGGCTGGCCAGCTCCGTTCATGGCTCCAGTCGAGTTAAGAAGGTCCCAGATCAGGACCTGGCAGTCATCCGCTCCCGAGGCCAGCGTGCCTCTTCTCAAGGGCGACCACTCTACACAGTTGACAGAGCCACCGTGACCGCGGAGCTCTAGCAAAGCCTGACCGGGCTGTCGGACGTCCAAAATGCGGATGATGTTTGAGTCTTGCGCAAAGGTCGCGAGAAGATGAGTATCATGGGGCGACGTAGCAAGCCTCATCAAGGGCGGAGGGTTCGTCATGGTCTGCTGGGCCAGAGTAGGACTGATTCTTCCACCATTGGCGTCTCGGAACAGTGTTAGCAATCTTGTCAACGAACAGGTGTGAAGCCAGAAACAACATACCTCGGTCGTCCTTGGACGTGGGCTCGTAAATGATGGTACTATGCTCGAGGCTGCGAAGATCAAACATGCGTACGCTGCCGTCTTGACCGCAGCTAACAAACACGTCAACACTATTGGCGCAGAAGCGTACGTCGTAGACCTCCTTGTCGTGCGCAATCAACTGGGTCTTGGCCGTCAACGATGGAATATCCCAGATGGTGCAGGTCGTATCAATGCTGGAGGTGATGATCAAGCTCGGGGAGACGGTATTCCAGTCCAGAGATGTCAGGGGCGCAGTGTGGTCGGGGGTTTTTGAGTTGGAGAGGAGAGCGAGCGGTGTTAATTTGGTGGCGGTCGTTTCCCGCTTGTTGTTGATCGAGTTGCTCTGCTGCGTGGGCGCCGACTCGGAGGGCAGCGACCAGAGCCGGAGGTGATCCCCTGACGTGGCAAGCAGGTCGGTAGACTGCTTCTGCGACGAAGGAGGCTCCCAGAGTAGTCGCGTGACGGGGTACGAATGTGTGGCCTCGGCGATCTTGGAGAACTCTAGGCTGTGCTTTGCGCCGCCCGATTGCTGACCATCGGATGGACTGGGCACCACTTGGGTGTCAAGGATTTGGATCTGCCGAGTATGATGAGCTAGGGGTGAGCTTGCGTGTCTAGAGAAAGGGACGTACAAAGTTGTGGCCGTCCTCGAGGTAGCTGCCAACTGCCAGCTTGCCTGCGCTGTTCCCTTGAGGTGTCCACTTGCACCAATCAAAAGCATAGAGTGCCCATGGCGCAAGGTAGTTGCTGGCACCAGGCTGCGCGTTCGCCAGGTCGTAGCCAGAAGTGCCCGGAACGCCATCTGACATGCTCGAATCCGCACGGGGCCGGATGTCAGCCAGACCCAGGGGGGTGTTCGAAACGACCCTCTGGGACCCTGGTGCGTTGTATCTTCCATCGGAGGGAGACATGTACTGCGACGGCGTCGTGCCACCAGGCGTTGTCGGTGTGTAGGGCGAAAAGCTAGACGAGCCGTCGAAGCCCGCGGCAGGGGAAGAGCGAGAGTAGCTGTGCGACAAGCTGAGGGTCGGTGGTTTCGACGGTGCTGCGTACTCGGACTGCTGGGACTGCTGGCTGGGGCTCTGTAGCGTGGGGAGATTGGGCGCAGTGTTGGCGCTCATGGGCGAAGGTCGCGAGCCGCTTCCCATGCCGCCGGGTTGCAAGACGTTAGGCACAGACGATGAGCTGTGGTAGGAAGCAGTGCTGGGCGAGGCCTGGTCCAGCTTGATCTGGGGCCCCGAGGCGGAGGAGGGGTATTCGCGCGGCGAGGTGGGACCGGACTGAGCCATGCCTGCGGGGGGCATGTGCAATTCGTCGTGTTGCGAGCCGTACGTGCCAGTCCTTCGTGGAGGGCCGGGAGGATACTGCTGCTGTTGCTGCTGCTGATCCATGGCCGCGTCGCGAGCAGGGAGACGAGGGGCGAGGGCGAGTGCACACACACACACACACACACACACACACTTCCTAGTATGGTCGCCGTATGATGATGGTTTAGGCCGACGATAAAGGATCAGGGAGACTCGGTGGGTGATGGAGAACGGGCGTCGCTGGTGTCAGCGTCAGCGTCAGCGTGAACGTCAATGTCGGCGCGAGACTTCTTTCGTCCGTACCTAAGGAGAGGGAGAGGTTGGCGATCAAATGTTGTGATTCTGAGGGGTTGGGTGGGTGGCTGCGACAGCAGGACCTGGCGGCTGGTGCTGCGGTGGATTCTGACCAGGCTCAGGTTCAGGTTCAGGCTCAGGCTCTGGGCTCCGGGGTCGGGTTTTGCATTGGGATCAACTAACTCGCTGAGAAGGGGGAGCATTCAAGGCACTGGCCAGCTGTCACTAACCTGATTAGGTAAGATCACACCTCCAGAGAGTCTGTCGATGCTCTGAGCTTCAGGGGCCAACAGTGGGGACATTGGCACACATGGCCCCTGGAAAGAAAGCTTCGGGGGCCAGCTCTCATCCCTTGGATCAAAGTCATAATGCGCGCGAGTTCGTGACAAATACGACACGATCACAAGTAGGACCAACTGCACAAAGGAGGGATCATGTATTTTGCTGCCAAACGTACACGTGGTCAGGTCTCTACGCCATTGTTGACCATTACCGAAAAAAAGACGAAGGGACCTCAGTATGAGAAGACCGCTAAGGTGCACCAGCTCCTCGCCAGAGCTGAGCTTCCTGGCACGCGAGCTTATGTAAACAGAGCGCGCCCGTGGCCCAGGGAGCAACCAGCCGCCAATCCTGTGACGTCGCGAGCTTGGAAGCAAGCTCACACGCTCACTCTCACATGCTCCTCCCCCGTGAACAAACCACATCCTCCAACACGGGTCATTTTGGCCCTCCGTGATGCGAGCCAGGCAGCCAGCACCTCTGGAGACGAAAAAGACGGCTATCTACCTTCCGCTTCTAACCCTTCGTCTGTCGATTTGACCCTTCTTGTCCAGCGTCGGTCCAAACAGCCAACAATTGTTGTCGGCTCAGCATGGGTTGTCTACAGCTCTCCTGGCTTTAGAACAGATATCCACGAAATACCCAAGCCACCTTGATCTCTGCGAATCTTGCTGTAGAACCCCAAATCGCTGCTTCCTTCGCCATGGCACCTTCAAAATCCTCGTTTCTAGACCGGCTATCGTCGCCTCGTGGCAGCGCACCCTTGTTGCCATTCCATGAGAAACGACGTAGATCTGATGATTACGATCTGGACAACCTATCGCCAAGACAAGACGACTCGATCCTTTCTGAGGATCCCTACGCTGCAAAGGGAGGACTATTCTTGCGGTCACCTTCTCCTGCGGACCCCGACCCATGGAACGAGAGGGCCAGTTCGACCGGCTCATCGTCTAAGCTCAAGCCCCATCATGCTTTCGATGGGCCACCACCTCCCATAGCAGCGTCGATCGTCATCCCGCAACGTTTGGCGCCCGCATCGCGCTCACGAGAACGGAGGCCCGGGAAGAGTGCTATGAAGAGTTCCGGCTCCAGCCGCCTAGGCCTTGGCAGTGTTGTCTTCGATGCCACGTCTCAAAGGCAGGCGGCCAACCCAGCAGACTCCACGTGGCGCGCCCTGCAGCGACGAGAACAGGCCATCGGGAAAGAGCTGCAGGACCTCCTCGATATGCAAGCCATGGGTCTCGTGGCTGGGAGCGAGACCGCAACCTCGTCGAACGCCAGCGATGCGGACGCCTTCAGCGACACGGGCAGCAGCACGCCGACTGCAACGTTTTACTCGACCGTCACCTCGCGGTCGCGCATGACGGCGTCCCTCGACCACCCAACGCGCGCGACGCCGCGAGGGGACGTCATTCCCATCCGTCAGCCCAAGGCGTCGAAGCCCCAGGGTCTGCGTGCTGCCCGGAACGGCCTGCGAAGATCCATGACGGCGCTAGCCAATCTCAAGGCTGAAGAGGATGCTCATGTCGAGGCGGCTTTGTCCGATCGCAAGAAAGCGCTGGTGTATCTGCAGAGATTGACGAAGAAGCAAGAGGGCATCTCGCGGGAGCTTCACTCGCTCGCTGATTTTTTTTTAAGAGCCGTTGGCCAAGGAGCTGCGTACCCTAGGCGACCAGCATCAAGCGCTTGACCAGGAGATACGCGAGATGGAAGAGACATTAGTGGGTATGCGGAATCGCCGTCGCTGGCTGGGACGAAAGATGGACGACGTCAAGAACAGACGTGAGGCTGGCTTAAGCGGCTACCGAGGCGCGATGAAAGAGGTAGAGGGCGAAGTTTCTTCATTGATGCGCCGCCCCCCTATCGAGCCCCTTGATCTCGAGGTACTGATGACCGATGCGAGCGAGAGAGGGGACGAAGGCATGACGGGCCTTCCCAGTGGCGAAGAGTTTCTCCAGCTCATTCCGGAAAGACGCACACCAGCACTAGCCATGGAGTGGTGGCAGGGGGAGATTAACATGTTGGAGGCCCGCAAGAACCAGATTGACAAGGACCGCGAGGCCCTCGAATCCGGGCTGGGCTTGTGGAATGACTGCGCGACCCTTGTTGCTGGCTTTGAGGCGAACTTACGAAAGGCTATGAAGGGCGAACCGACGGGTAAGGGTAAAGAGAAGGCTGCCTCGCCAGAGGAGGCCCTTCGACAACATGTTGCCGGGATGGCAGGGGTCATTGAACAACTCCAGGAGTATGTGGGCATTGCGGTGGCCAACAATTGGAATTTGCTCATATGCGCCGTCGGTGCCGAGCTGGAGGCCTTTGAAGAAGCCGAGAGGATGCTCCGGAATACTCTCGAGTCATCAGACGAGCCTACCCCAGCACCGGACAAGTTGCTCGTTGAGGACAACACGGAAAAGCAAGGACCAGCGCATGGAGAAGCAGGAAGAAACGATAGATCGAATCACGAGGCCGATGAGAGTGACAACGACGTCCCGTTGGACTTGTTGGTCACGGGACGTGAGGAGCAAAACCATCAGGAGGGGAAGCGCACGAGTGGGAAGGATCATCACCATGAAGAAGATGAAAGTGACAGTGGTGTTCCGCCTCCTGAATTTTTGGCAGAGCACGACCCTGAGGACGGAGATTTTCATACTACAAGCAGATGAGCGTAGAAGTTCGAGGTGTCTAGGTTTGCCCGATTCAAGATGGCTGCTGTGCTTAGGAATAATTCCAGAGCAGTATCGACATCATTGTTGCCACAACCCAGGTCTAATTGTCTTAACACGTGCACCTGGAAAGCGAATGGTAGGCTTCAGTATCAAAGGTACTGCCTATGGGTAACCTCGGCTATGTGCCGTGGGTTTCGCCGTCTCGCCTATAACAAACCCGAGAGAGTGGAGCACGGGAAGGGGAAATCGTGAGGCATTAGGGTCCGGGATGGGGTTCCGATGTGTCGGGCCTGGAACAGCCCGGGATGCATTTTGCTTATATTCTCGCTCTTGCAGAAGTATTTGCCTTGATATTGCCCTGTTTTCTAAACGATGCACAACTCCATTCATAACGCCAACACCAGAAGGGACCGAAGCAGAGAGCTACGAGCATTGCCGGCCTCGGACAATATGGCCAGCTTCAACAGACTCGCGCCAGATATCGGAGGGGGGATCTGAAGGGCCAACAAATCCAGAGATGAACGATCAACTATCCCAAGAACCCGTGTCATTTCCTCCAAGGGTTGAAGCCGGCTGGCTCGCCGTTGTGTGACCGAGCGAAAAGCTACCATGCCATTACCGAGACCTCTCGAACCAGCCGCTGGACCCAGCAATAGCGACCGACTGATCCATGACCCATTCACCGACGCCGAGGTACTTGTCGATCCATTTTGAAACGTCCTTGTTTTCGCCAGCAGCTCTGTCGGTCTTGAAACTAGGCCTAGGAGTTCCCAAAGGGGCATGCGTCAGCCAACCAGCCGGGTTTCCAGCGATCATGTCGACCGCTCCTTGCAAAAATCGGACTTGATGGCATTCGGATACTCACGTCAAGCCAGTGGAGCGCTTCATGCCGGCGAGGACCGTGGAAACTGCGAGACGGAACGGTCAGCAACTGGTTCGACACAACCGCGGCAAGTAGAGCGACGCACTGAGCACGGCATCGACGGCGTAGTGTGTCAGACGCCCGAGCTTTGACCATAGTCCCAGTGTCAGCAGGTTGAGGAGCTATTGCGCAGGTTTAGATGCTGCTGGCAGGCGAGCACCGAGCTCGTTGGTGGGCGGTACATACAACCATTGTGTAAGTCTGTCGTGCCTCGTTTGGTTGGTGGTGGTGGTGGTGGTGTCCTGATAGTTCGGAGCGCAGGCCTCGACGATGTCTCTGGCGTCTTCAGCTGTGAAGGTTACTCTCTCTGTTTTCGTGATGCTAACAAATGGCAGGTATTGGTATCAGGCGACGAGATGGTGGTGATGCAGATGCAGGGACCGATCAACAGCGCACGAGACGCCACGACAACCAATGGGTCCACCAGCTCCCTCCAGGCTTCTCGACGGCCCGCCTGCCAAGATCAGAGGACCCCGCCGAAGCAGCGGTCAGGTCACGTGTTGCTCGCCGATAAGCCATGGCCCGAGCTCCTTCGCAGCGGAGCCTGGCGATCCTATCACAAGAGAGTGATTCGCCAGGCGATCCATCAGTTAGGGCCTTTGGCGCTTGCCGTTGTCGGGGAAGGCGGCGGGACGCTGCCTGTGCCTGAGACGGCCCTTTTGGTTTGTTGAGGGGACCTGATGCTGACAGACCGACATGTCTGTTTGGTCGGTTGGCCAGGCTCAAGCTCATTGAGGTGAGGCTTTAACAGCGAACGGAGCTCCGGGGGCAGGCAGGCCAGAAGCAACGAGAGCACTCACGAAATCCCTCATCCGAGCCCCGGCCATCTCCCAAGATCTGAAGCTGGAGCCTGACACCACTATCGAAGCATCGGAAAGGAAAGTCTATTGAGAGTCTGAGTCCAAGGACGGGGATCTCAGAATACCTACGGCGTTTCTGCATCCTGGAAGTGATCATCACTATTTTTTATTTTTCGCACAGGTATCAGACCAGTCCCACCGCTCAAATCGCCGCACTGTCTGAGGTAACAGGCGCTGGGATGGCTGCACTCAGTCAGGTCGCCCGCCAGGGTTCTTTTCAGTGGAGCTGACACTGAGTGGGGGCAGCTTCGCGTCTCAGTGGGGTACCAAAATAGCTGTAAGGACAGTGCGCGGGCTGCTCAGGCGCGGGGCTCGGCCGTGGTCGCAGTAGCAGCAACAAGGCAAAACACCAATTGAGGAGGGGCAACTGCACCACCGACGCAGCTTCCCTCTCCATTGGGTGCTTTTTTTTCTGGCTGGTCTGCTTCCATATCGCCCAAAAAGCCTCCCTGGCTTGTCTTTCTCCGACCCCTTCATCTCTCCTACAAAATCCCATCTTACCTTATTTCCCTCATCTCTCTAACCATCTTCTCGTTCGACTGGTATTTAACTCGTCCACGAGCTTCGCATCTGGAACCCCTTTGGTCTTTTTACCCCTCCTCTCCTCATCGAACGGCCGTGCCGCTCTGGAAAAGAAACAGACACCCCCTCCACCGCCCACCTCAACAGCAGCACCACACTCACAATGGCTGCCACCGCAAAGGACCATCTCGATGTCGGCGGCAAGATTGCCTGGTTGGCCAACCTCGACACGGCGTTCACCCCCGAGAAGAACTACCGTCGCTCTTCCATCATCTGCACCATTGGCCCCAAGACCAACTCTGTTGAGGCCATCAACAAGCTCCGCAAGGCTGGTCTCAACGTTGTCCGCATGAACTTCTCTGTAGGTGCCGGGATGCACTGCCCTCAAGAAACGAGCGGTTCAGCTAACAACTCCATCTTAGCACGGCAGCTACGAGTACCACCAGTCCGTCATTGACAATGCCCGCGCCGCCGAGAAGGCCCAGCTCGGGCCGTCAGGTCGCCATCGCCCTTCGACACCAAGGGCCCCGAGATCCGTACCGGTAACACCAAGAACGACGAGGATATCCCCCTTGCCGCCGGTACCATCCTCAACATCACCACAGATGAGCAGTACGCCACTGCGTTGCGACACCAAGAACATGTACGTCCTTATCCTCGCCTCCGCTGCCAGAACAGCTTCTGACCCTCACTCCCAGGTATGTTGACTACAAGAACATCACCAAAGTCATCGAGCCTGGCCGTATCATCTATGTTGATGACGGTGTCCTTGCCTTCGACGTTCTCTCCATCAAGGACGACAAGACTGTCGAGGTCAAGGCCCGCAACAACGGCTTCATCTCTTCCAAGAAGGGCGTCAACCTGCCCAACACTGATGTCGATCTCCCCGCTCTGTCCGAGAAGGACAAGAACGACCTGAAGTTCGGCGTCAAGAACAACGTCGACATGGTCTTTGCCTCCTTCATCCGCCGCGGCCAGGACATCAAGGACATTCGCGACATTCTTGGCGAGGAGGGCAAGCACATTCAGATCATTGCCAAGATCGAGAACCGCCAGGGTCTCAACAACTTCCCCGAGATTCTCGCCGAGACCGACGGTGTCATGGTTGCCCGTGGCGATCTCGGCATTGAGATTCCCGCCGCTGAGGTCTTCGCTGCCCAGAAGAAGCTGATTGCCATGTGCAACCAGGCCGGCAAGCCCGTCATCTGCGCCACCCAGATGCTCGAGTCTATGATCAAGAACCCCCGCCCCACTCGTGCTGAAATCAGCGACGTCGGCAACGCCGTGACCGATGGCGCCGACTGTGTTATGCTGTCTGGCGAGACCGCCAAGGGTGCCTACCCCAACGAGGCTGTCAGCGAGATGCACGAGGCCTGTCTCAAGGCGGAGAACACGATTCCCTACGTTTCGCACTTTGAAGAGATTTGCACTCTGGTTCGTCGTCCCGTCAGCGTTGTCGAGTCCTGCGCCATGGCCGCCGTCCGCGCCTCTCTCGACCTCAACGCCGGTGCCATCATCGTCCTCTCCACCTCGGGTGACTCTGCGCGCCTCATCTCCAAGTACCGTCCCGTGTGCCCCATTCTCATGGTCACCAGGAACGCCTCTTCCTCCCGCTACAGCCACTTGTACCGTGGTGTCTACCCCTTCCTGTTCCCCGAGTCCAAGCCCGACTTCAACAAGGTCAACTGGCAGGAGGATGTCGACCGCCGTATCAAGTGGGGCATCAACCACGCCATCGACCTCAACGTCCTCGGCAAGAACGAGACCGTCGTTGTCGTTCAGGGCTGGAAGGGTGGTCAGGGCAACACCAACACCCTGCGCATTGTCAAGGCTGACCCCGAGCACCTTGGCCTCGGCGAGTTGTAAGTGGCGAGAGAAATGCTGGTCATGGCTGGGGGTAATAGGAGTGAATAATGAAGCTTTGAGGATATCCCTTCATCGGTAGACTTCGGAGATTGCCGCCCTGCTTTTCAGGCTCACCTTCAATAACGAATTACTGTTTATTCTTGTTACATTATGCATCTGATGAGAACTCTGCTTTTGCTGATGTTGTGGTGCTGAATACCTCGCTCTCATGCATGATCCACTTGGCATGATGCTACCTGACGCGCGCGGTCACCCCTTGTGAGACATCGATATATTACTAGGCGGCATGTTATCGTTACGCCGCGATCAAATGTGTACAAATCAATGAAGTATAGGGCAGCCAAGCTTAGTCCATATCTGCGGCCATGCCCAGCGCATGACTGGGGTCATTGCACTCTTACTTGAATGCGTCAGCGACAAGGATCGGTCAAAATTGTCTGTCAAAGGAGACAGATAGCATGCGTTTCGCGGACTGATTGATTGCCCATGTCGATTAACCTCAAGTATCAATCACTCAATCGATCTGTAGCTGACGGCCAGCGATATTTGGTCAAGCATAGGAAGAGGGGACTTCCACAGCTTGAACAACACCAATTCTGCCTTACATGATTTGTGTAAGCCTCTGGCTTGGATCTCGCCAGTGGCCAGAGTTGACTCGCAGTGTGACCAGCCGTCTGCGTGGGATGGTGGAATATATGAGAATTACCCTTGGCGCGTGGGCGTCCAGCTGATAAATACTCGAGCAGACTCGAACGAGCAAGACCCTACACGAGCGTTGAGTCATGCTCTCGATACGAGAGAGCTGATCTGTAGACACTTGGCATTAT